AAATGCATAACAAAATTTATTTTAGGTAAGGTACACAACTTCATTTAAATATCAAGCATGCAAATATTTATGCTAACATTGAATGAACTCTAATATGACCCTCTGCCAATGTTAACATGTCAGCTCTCGAGATGTCAAGACGTATATTAACGTGAGAATTCTTTAATCCAATTATTTCAACTTGTCAAACTACTTTAACATCATGTACAAGAGCTCAAACCCTCAATGTGTCCTTTAAAAATTGCTAAAGTCAATTAAGTCAGTTGTGGGAAAGAGTACGACCCTTGGTATTCTAATTTCGTCATATTTTAATGTTTAAGAATAATTTTTTTTCCTTAAATGGAATATTCTGTTTCTTCCCATGCGTACACGAAATAGCATGAAAACGCTTTAAAGACAATAGTTTTATGAGTACCCTTTCTATCACAATGGAAGCTCATTAAAATTTCTTTACATTTTAAATAATAGCTAATAAACATTCTTGCGTCTATTTGAAGAAAGTTAATACTATAGGCCAAAATTTTATATTTCCTGCAATTGAGATTAGGTTCTTTGTTAGCACAGTATATTTTGATGATGGATTCTTTAGTAAGATTTGTTGAACAAATTCCTTTGTTATTTAATACGATGTCGTTTAACTAGGCTAAATTTACCTTGAATGTGCTCTAACAATCGAATCAAAATAAGATGAACCAACGACGGCTAACAATGCTTTTGTTGTATATAAATAATAAGCCATTATTTTACAAATTGTTTCATAATTGTCAAAATATTCAAATTAGACGAATAGCTTTAAAGGCAAAATGTCATAAAAGAATTCTATTCGGTGTGTATTCAAATTTTGCGAGTAAAGTTGAAGCGCAATTATGTTGAAAATTCTCTAATAAACACAAAATTGTATACCATTCAATGACTGACATTTTATATAGATTTCAAAATGGATACGCCTTTGCTGAGCATGTAAACTTGTTGAAAATAGACCCAAATTCATAAAATAGTTAAATACTTGCGTACATGTCATATTTGATATTCCAAAATATAGAAATCCCTAACTGATTCAAGTAAACTTTTCAGTAATGCTTGTAAATTTTAAAACTTTAGACAAATATTGTGTACAGTAGGAAGGATTTATAAAACATTTCGTGCTCATATGCTGACTTTCGACCATATAGAACTTATTTTACCTTCTTGATTTAAACATAAATTTTTTTGTAACAACAATAAACCAAAAACGATGAACAGTCAGTCTCATATTAACATAAATTACTAATTGAAATCAATAATTACCGTCTATGAATATTTATATTTGAAGAAACGTGGGGTGTGCGATAGAATTATCTCCACGTGGTGCACCCTGGGCAATGTTTACTCCTACAGCAGAAGGTCGATTAACTTGCAGTTGACTTCTGATTTCAAACTACCATCACCCCACTGTATGTCATATTCGACTACCTCCTCAGTATTCACCTCACCTTTTTTCTACCCTTGTGTCTGCCTCTTTTACACCTTTGAGACACTCTTCTGCCCCACCCCTCTCGACTTTTTTTCACTCTGATGTTCCTCCTCCCTTCTGTGAAGCCTTAAGCCAGCTAAAGGGCTAATTATAACCATCAAAACGTTTACCATTTAATATAAATAAATATTTGAAGAAACGTTCCTGTGATTATTGACTTATCTGTTTTAATTTCGAGAGAATTGAAGGTTTGCCTAATTTTCAAAGCAATCGTTCTTGGAAGGGGCACCATAGTGTCACAAATGAATTCGTTTTATGACTTTATCAGTTTTATAAACTGAAATTCAATCTAAAGAAGCGTCAAGAATGAAATTAATGCAGCTCAATATTGATGACTTGATCGTAGGAAACTCGGGTCTATTGAGGTGCATTGTGCGGCAATCAGGCACTCTCCACGTTTGCAACGATATAAATAACTTTTAGAGGAAGCACCTTGGGAATAAATGAAGTCCAAAAAGCTAATGAAAAATTGAAGCGCTCACTCTTGAATCCCAAAGTGGTATGGTGAATAACTGCCTTGGAAAAGACAAATGAAAAATGACACGTGAACAGATAAAGTGACTGGATTTTGAACTACCGTTAATTTGTGCCACTATTAAAACAAACTTACTTACCTAATTCAATCGAATACTAATACACGAAAAAGTTGATCAGAATCAAAATTTATTCGAATACTGAAATAACCGGTTTTAGTTATTAAGGTAACATTAATAAATCAAAATGAGACGATTAAATAAGAGCTAAACACCACACGGCAGATTAAATCACCTACTAATGCAGATGAGTTGAGGATTTGGATGTTTCACTTATCCCTGAATTCAAAGCGGTCCGCTAACCGACTCACTGTGATAAGAATTCATTAATTTCACTTATTACTTCAAATAGTGTCTGCTCAGCCAAGAAGTTATTTTTTTCTTCACCCCTTAGACTGAGTTACTTCACCAATCGAAGTTCATTTATTCTTTTTCTTTAGAAGTCGCTTTTGGTTGATTCTTATGAGATTACTTAAATGGGAAAAAATAGAGAAACTTTTAGTCGTGTCTGCCTGCAGGAAGCATGTCCGGTTTTAAGGACACAAGATGTTACATATACACCGAAGGCTACATTTTGGATTTATTGAGAGTTGAAATAAACCAACTACGCAAATGGTATTTACTCACATTTGCTTACAGTAAGCATTGAATGGACGTGAAGTGAGGCGTAAAAATTTATTTTTTGGGATATAAATATAAATTCGCATCCGAATATTAAAAGAAGCATTTTACACATAGATCATGTCTTCTGGTTGATTATAACCTATAAAGGCAATGACTGATGTCAAAGTCCTATTTTTTATCTATTTTTGTAAGTATCACTATGGGTGGTAAAACTTTTTAAATGGGTCAAAACATTTAATGCCAAAGTGTTATACATAAGACAGTCTCTAAATGCCAATCCTCATCCCTAAATTGAATTTTCTGGAAAATTTAAGCATGCGAAATTAAATTATAACTTATGCCGATAATCGAATATTAATTTACATCAAATAGCACGCTTTATGCTAGTTATCATTAGTCCTTTAGTTGACTTCAAGGAGAGGAACATCAAAGCGAAAAAATTTCGAGAGTGGGAACAGAAGAGTGATTCGCAGTTGTAAAAGAGACAGACAATGGTAGATGAAAGGTGAGGTGAGTACTGTGGAAGTGGTCAAATATGACATACAGTGGGGACATGATAGCTTGAACTCAGAAGTCAGCTGCCGGTTTATGGACTTTTTTGCCCTATGAGTATACGATGCCCAGGGTGCACCACGTGGAGGTAAGTCTATCGCACACAAACTTCCGGTTAATAGACTTTTTACCGTATGAGTATACGTTTCCCAGGGTGCACCACGTGGAGGTAAGTCTATCGCACACCCAACAGGGTGCACCACGTGGAGGTAAGTCTATCGCACACCCCCATAATCGAATATAGTCTTGTTAAATGTTGGCTTTTCTTCAGCACAAAAGTGGAGTTACACAGAAATGCCACATTGAAAGTATAAATAATATAAAATGGGTAAAATAGATAATCTATCTGCTTCTCGAAAATAAGGATTTTAGGTATTTCTTTTTGAATTTATTGTTTGCTTCAAATAACAAAACATAATGAAACCATAAAACGTTATATTTCAAAAGTGGTCTTGTTTGCTATATTCAAATAATTTTTTTTAACAATTTTATTTAAAGTAACTACTATACGAAATTCTTTAATAACGCCCTCTTTTACACTTGTCAAATGTGCGACTATGTCGCAAAGTTCAATTTGTTTGCATATTTATTTCTTTATTTTGAAATGAAACACAATTTATTTTATTAATAATTTTTTGGAAGCTAATAGCTATAATTTTAAACCATCGTTATATACTGAGTAAAACTTAAGTCTTGCATGCCCGTTCAAAATTTTAGATTACCTTGTCTTTATTTCAGACCGATTTTGGCTGATAGACTTACCTCCACGCGATGCATTCTGGGCAACGTGTACCCATACGCAAAAAAGTCTATAAATCGGCAGCTGACATCAAATTACCATGACCCGACTATATGTCATAGTCCACCACTTCCACAACACCCACCATACCTTTTCTTTACCTATATGTCTGTCTGTCTCTTAGATCAGTGAATTTTAAATTTTACTATCATTCATATTCCAAAACATGGTAGATGTTAGGCTTAATTTTGCCTCAAAGGAATTATCCTATGGAATGAAAGTTAGGGCGATTTAAAGGTTTTAATTCAAAATTTATCCTTTCCTGCTCATTCTGGAGGTTTGTATTCAAAATGTCTAGGTGTCTTATGTAGAAAGCAATTCGGCAAATTGAGGGGATAAAAGTAGGTCAATGTTTTATCAATGGAACCACTGGTTTCAGAATTCTGTGAGCATAACAGCGTTATCTTCAATCTAAGTTAATCTATCATATTGCTCCATTTCTGTGATTAAATCTAGATTCGATAATGATCATTTTAAGTAACTTTAAAGAAGATGTAAAGAAAAAAACTACATTAAAAGTGCGATGTGTGAAAATTGGCCGAGAACGAGGCAATAATACTCCCATTTGATGCGTTTCACCGTGTGCAAACAGGCCATGAAAGCAGAGAGAGAGAGAAGACACTCATTGGTGCCCTCTCACCTCACTTAACCTCAGCTCACCTTTCTTGCACATACAAAATCTGGACTTGAAGTGAGAGTGTGTGCTTGTGTGCTATGGTTACAAACTGAGTGAGTGCGTGCGTGAGTGCAACGAGTCACGCATTGTGTGCACACAAGAAGTCCCAAAAGGACCAAAAGCCAACACTCCGAGAGAGAGAACGGAACACGCTGTACAAGTCACCTTACATTGGTACTTTGACCTGAAACAAATTCACTCTCTCTCTCTCTCTTTCAATCGTCCTTTCTCTATCTCAGTTCTTTATCTGCATCAACACAGCAAACCTGCGTATTCATATCTCTCTCCTCCTTTAAAGCCAACATGGTGGGAAAGGAATTTATAGATCTCTTTCGATCTATCCAACTAGGAAGTGATCTATCCGTGGATGACTTCTCTGATCGGTTGAATCTCTTTACTGTGGTTCTTCTACTCTTCTGCACTATTCTCATCTCGATGAAACAATATATCTTCAATTCAATTTCCTGCTACATTCCAGTTTCACCATCAGGAAGCGAATTCAAAAATTACGTCACAGATTATTGTTGGGTACATGGAACAATACCTCTTCGTCCTGACGAGGAGATGCCTACTACAGCGGAAGAATGGAATCTTTATGACAAATATCGAAGAATTAGTAAGCATATACCTTGACAGCTTTTTTCTTCATAATTAAACCCTTCCCAACCATCGTATTAGTCAGAATGGATTAGTTGGTTGACCACCCAGAGCCTTGGATAAATTCTGAAGGACATCAATATTGTGACCTCTAAGTTGACCTACATTCACGTTGACAACTGCGTCCCCATCACTAAACATTATTAATAAATACCCTTCATATCATATTGAGAAAGTATTAATCTAGATTCTACTTTTGAAATACACTTAAACCAAGTATGTCTAGTTCACTATTATTTCACTACCGCTAATAATTAAATAGCGTTGATATGATGACAGTATTTTTATAAGTTCTACTTTAAAGCAATAAAGATAATCGATTCCATTTAAATATTAACTTCATTTTATGCGTTTTAAAAAGTTATAAATTATTTGGCAAGCTCACTGTAGATTTTACTTTAACTTATTAAGGACTTAAATGTTCCGTTATTACAGAAATGCATATTTCTCTTCACTTCGCTGATTAGTAATAGTAATAATGCCTTAATTATTGGTAAGACAAAGTGTCGTCTTTTAATTCGAAATTTGACACTACTTGTGCCATCTAAGTCCGCATATGTTTAAAAAGGAACCCATTCTGAGTGTGTCGTGTCCACATGCGAACTAACAAAATGTTTACAAAAGATTGTTCACTCCCAAAGTAGGTTAAGTTTCACTGCATCACACACACCCCGCTATCTAACGTGCTTGTGTTTCTTAGCCTACTATCAGTGGGTGCCTTTCATGCTGGGACTTCAATGCATATTCTTCTACTTGCCCAATGTACTCTGGCAGATAATATGCAATTGGCGTGCCAGTGGTGATGTCTTTACCCTACTTCAAGCTGCCAAAAAGGCCACTTCTGGATCTCGAAGCGATCGGAAAAAGGAGGTTGAACGTGTCGCTGAATTCCTTGAAGATATGCTAGATAATCACAAATGTCCACGGCGAGTAAGTCTGAGAATTAAACTTTGGGAAATTTTCTTTTAAACAAATTAACTTCTGCCTGATTGTTAGTTTGCACGTATATAAGCATGATTTAAAGAAAAATATAAATTTAATTATTAAAAATATGAGAAACTCTATGTTTTCGAGCACATTTAATTTTGTAAGACTTATTTCTACCTTATTTACCGAGTTCATAAACGAGATGCATCTATTCACAAGGAAAAGTAATTTCTATTAATATAACTATGGTGAATGTTATATAGATAAGATAAAATCTCATTTAAAATGACCTTTCTACTTATGATTGCATGCATTGTTATAGATATGAAAAATCGTTGTGCAAAAATGACCATTAAACCCCCTATTGTTTCGCAACTTGTTAATGAAGCTATTAACAAATTTAAAGGGTCTTATAAATATGGCCAAAGAATAGAGGTTTTCATTGGCTACATATAGGCAATCCGCCCCTCCTACTTCCTAAATGCGGTCAAATTTATGTATTATCTATAAATAATATTTTAATTATTAAAATCGTACGTCACGCACTGTACTTACAGCGCGTTCTTGAAGACCAAAACCTTAGTTCTCTTAAAATTTTACGTCTAATATTTGGAAAACTTTTGTCCAGAATGCTGTTTGCGGTTGCAATACTGCATGAGGCAAAAGTAATCGTTACAAAGACAGAAATAATGAGTCAGATAAATCAGAAAGTTTAGACAAGATATGCTTTAGTTCAACGCACATCCGCTCGTTAGTATTTAGCAAAAAACGAAAACCAACTTAACGAAATTCGAGTGCACTGAAGTACAAGAGCTTGTACTTTGGGATGAGACACGACGAATTGTTTATTCCTAATAGTTCAAAAGGGTGCTGTACTAGTAAATCTACTAGCTTTAACTGACCTTGAGGCAAATATAAGCGACAAAGGTACGACGCATTACAACCAAGTTCAATTTACAATATAAATATACGTATTGCAATAAATTAACTATTGGAAAAATAAGTGCGCAGAATTGTATGGATAAAAATAGATGGGCGCAAACTTCAATTTCCTAACATATGTTTTTTGTGAGCTCGAGTTCACGCTCTACACTATTTGCTCAATTCTCTATTTGCAACGTGAAATTCCAGTAAATTCTTAAACGAATATTGTCAATACCCTCAGTAGTGATGATTTTAAGGACAAGATGATCCATATGACAACAGAGGATAAGTATGAGCTTTAGTTTACATATTTAAATTACCAATATTCTCAATGAATATTATGCTAAAAGGGGTAAGCACTTTTGCCTCAAACGACTTTTGTATGCTTTGTTTTACTGTGATTTGCATGAATGGGGAGGGGCATTTGACTATATGCACAATTTCTTCTGCACGTTGTTCATTTTAGGGTAAACAAGCGAGAATCATTAATAAAATGTACGACAGATTTGGCATTTGCGTTATGAGCAAGCGGTTGGGTACTCGCCTTATTTGGTCGTACTTGGCACTGAAAGTGGTCACTATTGTGAATGCAGCTGTGCAGTTATATCTTATTCAAGTGTTCCTTGGTTTCACTGGACACTACCTCAAGCCCGCAACAATCGAGTCCATCATAGAGGGAAAACCAAAGTATACTTTTGGTAAGTAGTTTAATAAGGTTGCGGAAATACTTCAGATATTATTAATGAATATTGAATTAACTGTAAATTTAATTGATATTTGTATGCAACTTTGAATCATAGCAGGGAAATCGCGTTTACACCCAATGGTATTAGGTAAGAATGGATATAACAAATGCAACTTGTGTTATTGTGATTGCAATTGACGTTAAATGTGGTTCGGATTTAAAATTTATAACTTCTAACTTTTCATTTTCTTTTATTTATCATTGGCATTTTTGGTATAAATGCACCTTTTCTTTTAAAATTGCTACTTATATTTATGTATTTATTTAAGAGATACGAGAACTGTGTTTGCGAAAATCATCTAAGCATTTCTTTCTTCGTGATCATTGTTTTATTATAGTTTAATTTTTCCTTCGAAAGTGATTGTACCTTTTGATTTGCAAAGTTGTCATAATTTCCTTATCAGTACTTGTGAAATGCATACTTATTTATAATTAAATTAGGAAGTCTATAATTTAAATTTCTCAATCATTTCTATCCAAAAAGATCTGCTTTACTACATATGGCAAAATAAGACTTCACGTATCTATAATATTGTGAAAATTCCTGATCTCTAAAAAAACCTTGACACAAAAAATACCCTCCTCAATTGAGATCTTTTTATTTTAGATGGGCAATTATAATTGAAAATAGAGTTAACTCTATTACCTTCTAATGTTCTAGCTGATTCCCCCTCCCTCGACTTTATCAGAGAATTCGAGTTCTCAGAGAGGATTAACGAACTGTTAACTTTTCTTGAAATATGCTTATCTTAACAGATACTGCGGTTGATTTTATTTACTTCAGGCTGACAAGTTGATTATGAGTGTTTGACTCGATTAATTTTCTCTAAAATCTTGGCGAAATACATCGATTTTGTTAAGGTAATCCCTTTATTCCCTATATTACTATACATTATATACTATATTTTTATACATTATGCTTAAGCGACATGTATAGCTATTCCACTTTCAGTCAGTTTTAGTCCCATTGCTTCCATGGCTGTTAATATTTTGTCGACTTTTTAAATGATAGTATCTTCTATCACTGAAATTACCTTCATGCCGTCTTGTGATTGATATGTTCGTGAGAATAAAGACAACCAAGACTCGCTTAATCATCTCCGTCTTGTACGGACAGCAGCAAAAAATTAGAGCTTACCTTAGTCTAATCTTTCGATTACGGTGTCTTGTATTCTTTATATAATCAATACGATAATTTATTTAAGAGCTCACCTAAACATTAGTTTCGTTCAAAGCTTGTATTCAGCTGGAAAATATGCTCGCGACTGGGTCAATCAATATTTTGCGTGAGATCAACCAATATACCAATAGCATTTTAAATCAGCTTAGAGATTGTTGTCTCTCGATAAGCGAAAATATCAAATTAAATATTAACGGGAGTTTCTCGTCAATCACCTCTCAATCGCAATTAGTAGTATCACCTTACGATGAAGAGGCACTGGAGAAAAGGATCGCTATATAGTGCTTCTATGAATACCTTTTCACAATTAGTTAATAAAAAAGATGTGCTTTGTGATAATATTTAAGTTTTTGTCTTTTTGAATTAACGATTGGAAATCGAATTCTCGCTCAGTCACCTATAAACCAAAAGGAGTGAGAAGTGGTAGCAGGGTAAACCATGGAATTCTGGATGTTGAACTGCAAAAGTAGAGAGTTGAATTAAAGTGTGATATGTACTTTTTGCTATAGAGGGAAGCCTATATACGAGTTAAGTAAAATATTAGAGATAGGAACTGAGTGAATTGAAACAAACTTAGAGGACCTGGCTGTGGGAAGTTGTTGAAAGGGGTTGTTGAAAAGACAAACGAGGAGAAATGTGGAAGCAACTGAAGTGTCAAAATTAGTCAATGTGGTGTAGAAAATTGAATCGAAGGGGTATATACCTCACAATATTTATATAGAGGTTGTCAAAATTACTTGAAGATGCTGAAACGCAGTTTAGAATATAAAGCGTTTATAAAAACTTAAAATTTGGAAAAAGGGTAAGGCTCTGCATGATAACCGCATGAATCACCTTTGGCAGTTGATAATATTCAATGAATTTCCCCTGAATTATACTTATGCTCTCACGATTCGTAAGTTGGCGAAAACAGATAACCATAAATGGAATGGGGCTTCAAAATGAGGTGACTTCATAAGTTATCGCACCAAATAATTAAGCTTTGAAAGATTCTGTTTACTGATATATGGAGTGTGTTCTGTCAAAATATGCTGTCTTATTACAACAAACAAACTTCCAATGCACTTGCTTGCTCTCAAGAATCTATATTGAATGTAACAATAAACTGGGCTTCCAAATTTTCGTACTTTCAAATATTTGTTATTAGTTATGATTACTTATGTTCAAATTATCCTGTAAGACCTTTTTTTGATAACCGCATTTTCATTTAGTCAAACTAAACCTAAAAAATAGTCTCTATTCACTTAAGTACATAAATGATGCTTCCAAACATTCTCTTCAACGTCCACTTTTTCTAGGTTTCTATCTACATTAAAATATTTGCTGATTATAATTTAGAATAATTTGCAGACACACCCTTCTTCTCTACGGTTTTATTATCTTTCACTTAATGCATAATCAAAATATCCATTTACTTTATCGGAATTTTATTGTTCACATGGTTTTTAGTTAACATCATCTGCATTTAAAAAAATTTCTCACCAGAAATACGTTTATGACTTTCGTGCAATTGAAGTCAATTATCCCGCTTTTTTATTACTTTCCTGGGCGAAATTGTAAAAACTGGAAAAAAATAATTGCATTTAGAAAGCTTTCAAGCACGGGGTGTGCAATTCTTAAAGAGGTTCAGGTAAATCAAAGTAATTAGAAATAGAGAATGTATTTGATGTAACAAAAAAATCGAATTCCCTTCGGATTCATTAACGTGAACAGATTCAACTTCCAGAATGTCATGGCTTAGCGATTCGAAGCTCAACTATCAATGTGTAACCTTGTGAGCTCGTTCGTACAGGATGACTCTTCCGCAGTGCTGCAGCGCTAAGAGGGCACATTTGTGTGGCTATGATTCACGTGGGTGCTAGGTATCACAAGGTTACCGTTGACTTAGACCCGGAAAGAGAGAGAGAGAAAAGGCAGAAGCACAGTCACCGAAAGGCACAATATAGACCGAAGGAAAGTTATGTGAAAGAATGAAAGTCTTGTTATTTTCGTAGAGATTTATAAATTAAAGCACTAACAGTGTGGCGACAGTTTTGACCCAAATTATCATTGCGCTATCAACCGCGGTAAATACTGATAAAACGAATTGGAAACATTAGCGGGAAAACATAGACTCCTGTTCTGGGCTTTTTTTATAGACTCCCTGTCAGCTTTTAGCATTTTTTTAACCAGACCCATCGTCCTCTTATTTCAGTTTGTTTTACTTTCCCTTACCCAAAGAGTATAGGTAATACTAATATAGATATCTTTACCAAAGAAGGATGCACTAGAGTTCACTGAAGGTGACTCTACATACCTTCACATCGATTTATTTCTATGGATTAAGGGAGAAGGTTACTTTCATTATTATTAGAAATCGCAAGTTATGGCCACACCTTCAGTTATTAAAAATAAAATACACTGGTTACCTATTTGAATTCCTTGAGGAAGTTGAATTGTTCATTTATTTATCCCAGCTTTGGAAGAGAACATTAATTAGAGGAAACTTGGAAAATCCGAGGAGAGAAGTTAAACTTTGGGGCACCCTATAATGATCATATTATTATTGCAATATTTAATAATAGCTTGCTGCCAGAACATATTTAAGGGTTGTTTAATCTTGACGGAATGGTGTTAAAACCCGAAACACAGAATTATGCTAATGCTTTATTTGCCCTTCAATGTTTATCTAATCAATCACGTTTTATAAAATAGGCTTATTTACCAGCACAATTCTTTCAAATTTCTGATAGCGCCATTGATTTATTTCATTAATTAAAATTATTTTTATTTGAGATTGGAAATTAAAGAGAGCTATTCTTTCGATTTGCTCTAAATTTTGCTTTGTTTCCTCAAAGTTTATTTTGGAAATTAAATTAGATCTTTGCATGAGCCATTTAATATTTGTAATTTATGAATGTATTTTATTTAGAATAATTGATGAATGTTAAAAATTGATATCAAACACACCAATAAAAATCAGTTAAAGCCAATGTTCACATAAAATATTCAATTATTTAATATTACCTTCTATAGCTGAAGCTTTCTGGTACATTAATTTAGTCTGGAGTTGAGTTTATGATCCTCCAAATCATACGAACCATTTTACGAAGACTATTTTAAGAATTGAATCTTCATGCGAGTAATGTTCGAATGTCAACCCACCACTGAATTGTTAATAGATGCTGGCTTGACTAAGTACCAGGATAAGGATGATGGATGAATTGGACACCAACTGCGGGGTTGGATTAAGCTTCGGTTTATATATATATATATATATATATATATATGCATAGTAGCCCCCCCCCTCCCCAACACACCAAAATATTAGTTCCTAAATCGTCTGTGTGATCATTCTTCCCTTTGGGTCCGGCTGAGCATTTTCATGATGGAGACCTGTATTTTCATATCCAGCTTAGTCTTATCAGTTGTTTTTTCAACACAACACTTCGAATATGTCTCTTCCACTCATTTTTAATATTTCACAATGAATAACTTCACCTATACCTTAGAGGCAGTTTCCGAAGGCTCAATCCTAGCTTGTCCGGGGAAATGGAATGACTGTTTGACTACTTTTTGCACTTAATTTGTCATGAACGTACCATTCCTCGCCTCTCCCTTCCAGTACTGGTAACGATTTGTTGTAAGAAGGACAAATTCTCTGTTATTTTTCAGGTATTCCAGCATCGAGGCAGGAACTCAACAGACAATGTCTATCTATTTTTTTTCTGCCTGGTTTGGGGTTTCAACTCTTTGCTCCCAAATAATAAATGAAATTCATTGCTCATTAATAAAGATGAAACATTAGTCTATTAGGAAAAACAACTTTGGGCTGTTTCCACCGTGTCTGGATTCGAATCGAACTGAAACAACTGGTTGTAAAATACTAGCTTTCTTATTGTTGGACCTAATACATTTAATGGAAACCTTTGCCAGTCTTTGGAATTGCTTTTTTGATTCCGAAACATGATTTTCATTGTCAATGTGTGACTAACTCAGCCCTTAGAACCATCAGCAGGCTATGTCTTTTACAATGCACTTGGCAGAACCCCAACCCCTCCCACCTCCACCTTCACCGAAAAGCGATTTAACAAATGTTTGCTAAAACAATTATGTATAATTTCAATTTTAGAAAAAAGTGAAAGGGGCTACTCCTTCGGATGGGCAATAGCCCAATACATACGCTCAGGCCAGGAGTGGCCACAGACCCTTTTATTCCCACGTGTATCCTATTGTCGGGTACCCAGTATCCGGTTGGTTGGTGGGGAGAACGCCTACACAGCTCAATGTGCTCTACCAATCAATATGCTCAATGAGAAGATTTACATTTTCCTATGGTTCTGGATAGTATTTCTCATAATAGTAACAGCTACAAGTTTAACCTTCTGGTTAATGAGAATGCTCAGTCCTTTTCGTAGATACCGTTACATAGCAAGATTCCTTCGAGTATGCAGAGTTGAAGACGAGGCAAAGCGACGCATGGAACCTCGTGGAAAGTTAAGCCAACTTCAACATTTCGTAGATTTTCATTTGCAACAAGATGGCGTTTTCCTGATAAGGATGATTGCTCTTAACGTTGGTGATATTCTGGCTGCAGATGTGGTGGGTGTAATATGGAAGAACTATCGGGAACGCAAGGAGCAAGAGGAATTGATTTCTTCCCCCACAACACCCACATCAATAGAAATGCCTACGGCGCCTCTTGACAAGATCCGTAAAATTGAAGTTGGATTTGTGTGATGAAGGGGTACTGGTTATATTCTCATGATTTACCGGCTAAAAAGTACGCATTTCCAAATTGTGGTGATGATTACTTTTTCCCTCCTCCCGAAAATATGATTAACCAAAACACAATTCTTATGTTTGCTTTCTTTGATTTCTTGTATTATTCTATTTTCACTTTTTTTTTCATTTTTGATGCAGTAAATGGTTCGAAGGAAAATTGTCGAGAATTTTCACTTATTTGGTGGCATCTAGTATCATCAGCCCACTTCGAGATAGAATTGACCGTGCATTAGTTTCGGTAGGGTTATGAACAATGCGGATCCGGAGAGACACAATTTATGAACAAGTTGGTTGCATGAGTGAAGCAACAGCATGCGTGCTAAAGCAGGGTAGATATCAACCTTTCTTTGAATAAAAAACGAAGTAAGTAATGTCTCAATTTAGCCAATGTATGATAAAAGAGATTGTATTCATTTTAGGGCAAATATATTTTACAAAAATAGGCCACTTACAATACATAGTTAAAAGAAACTTTATGAACCCAAAATATATAAAAAGCCATCAAGATTCGTCATCAGAATCAGGGACCAGTAGTGTAGCCCCAGTCATCCGGGTAGTTGCAGTAGCCCGCAAATTCTCTGCAATATTCCAACCAGAAACAGCTGCAGTTCTGACGTCAGAAGCCAGACGAGCTGTCACACGGGCAGAACCTGCAGCCCCTTCATGAGTAGACAGCACATCGACCATAGTTGAATCATCATGATCCGAATTTTCAAAAGCGTCTTTATATAATCGTTCAGGTTTCTGGGGTGGTGGAGGATTATGAAAGAATGAGTCCACTGTAGATTCTCCCCCCATGAATGAAGCGAAGAGTACCGAACGAGCCTGAAGCAGAAAGTACGCATAAATTATACACTACTTAAAAAATACAAGTAGAAAAATTTATCTAACTTTCAGAGTAATTGGACAACCGAAAATTATAGCAAGTTTCAAGCAACTTTGTGCACATAAATTTTGCAGAAAGACTACACACCTTCTTAGCAGGGGGTTTGGCCTCCTCGAATTCGCGCACTGGAACTGGAGTGTTAGCCTAAAAGGAAATAGAAATTAAGCAGATAAAATCGGAAGAATAGTCGAATGAATATCTGACAATTACTTACTGTTATCATAGTACTCGAAAGATTAGGACTGGATGGAGGAAGAATTTGAGTTGGGGCTGTCATTGTATCCAGTCCAGTCGTTCCATTTGCTGAACGGTGGCTTTCATTCAGGTTACTAATTCCACTACAATACAAATTAGTGCGGAGTTGAATTAAAGCATTCTTCAAGCTACTTGAAATCTAAAGACACTGGGATACAAAGTAGATAGCATCAGCCATGAAAAAAGGAAACTATTAAACATGGACCCGTTTACAAACCTACTAAAAATATGTGAAAATAATTCGCTAGCACTTTTCAACAAACGATTTTATAAATCTAAAGGAGAATTTGAATTTGATATTACATGAAATTTTCACCCGGTTGCGTTGAAATTAAAGCTCCTTCAAAAAATGAGAAATGAAGTTTTGAGTGACAAGAGGGCTCCAAATACAACCAAAGCTAAGTAACTCTCCGTTTAAAGACTGACTGAGTTGGTAAGTAAAATAAATAAAAGAGGAAACAATTAGTGGACATACAGGAAAGAAACAGACGAGATCGGTAACGCAGATCCGGTCGGTCGCATTGTTGAATTCAGTGGAACTCGTTTTGGAACGTAAGGGAGTGGTAGCGTGGAAAGTACAAAATTCGCTTTGTAATTTTTTTCATCTGTAAAAGTTAGTATCATAGGGTTTCCAGGTTGACTACAATTTAGTACCAATAGAGCATTCACGGATTCACCAAATAAGATAGCGGCCTTAAAAACAATAAAAACAAACAAAATTAGAAGTAATGCAAAAACAATTCATTAAGTTGATTAAGGTCTCTATAAATGACACGAAAAGTCACTTTCTACTTATTCCATTCTACCAGTTCCATGAAATTAACCGGTTCATCCCTGCTTTAATATCAAACTACGTTAAAATTTTCGTGGGAAAAAGTATTATCCCACTGTAAATCCCTAAAATTGACTAATTTTCTCTACCTAACTCGCGCCTTTGCAGGATTTTGTAGAATCCAACCCACCACACATTTTTAGGTAACAGCTATTAAGAGTAGGATCAAAGCATTAAATTGAACGCACACCCTGACGTATGACTGCGCTAGTTCGATTGTCAGATGATGAACTCTATAGGTTACTTATAATATGAACAAAAAAAGGCAAGTTGACCTTTTCACCACAATTCTGTCTCTAATCGTTCGCTTTTCATGCTTATTTACTTCTATTGACGCCCCAATGCATCTTCTTACTCCGATCTCACTCCAACTCTTTCTCGTTCCTCTAAGATCGACCATGATACTCTACCGATATGAGAGAGCACCAATATTAGACAAACTAACGGGCTTACGCGAAAATCCTTTTGGCAAAAAGTGATATCGTATTCCTCAGTGAGTCGATAAGCTTCAAACTCAGTAATAGGTACAGGGATATGTGTATTGACGGAAGCGACGTCTGAAATTCGAAGAAAGTAATTTCAACTTATTTTATAAAGTCGTCAAAATCAATCTGACTAAATCAGAAAGGAAATTTACCAGATTGCTCAACGTAATTTCGAAATATACATTCACCAATTTGCATACTGATGGTAACTTCTGTTTGATTTTGTCTAAAATTTTGCATGATCTCACCAGCTACCCTAAAGAATGTGAATACATGTAGATATATTCAAGCGCTTACTTACTTAGAGGACATAGCAATTTGACAAGTTGAATTTTCAATATCATAGATGGCTTCGAGGCTTTCACATTCAATAATTGGAAGGTTGTAGGTTTTCACGATCCCTATAGAAAAATATCATTATAAAAAAATATAACAACCATATCGTTGAAAGAATTGAACAACAAGCCTGTTCTGCTCATTATCAAGGCGTATTTTACATCGATGCAGGGTTTTATCCCAGGCCATGGTCTGTTTGAAAACTTTGCAACATGTCTAAAAAAATCCATGGACAAATTAATATTCTAACCTTTGTGTTAAGTTTGAAACGCACATCAGAATCTGTGAGTCTGAAATTCTTCTCAAAAAATTTGCCACTGAATGACACGACAGCAAAGGCTGAACGAGTTGAATTAACACAACGAAGACTCAACTGAATCGAAAGAAAATTAATTAACTAAATAATTTGCCTCATCGGAACTGCATTCGAAGAAGATATCATCTCCAAGTTTACCAAGGGAGTTAATGGCTCGTGTGAACACTAGATGACGTCAATGGAAAAAAAATAGAAAACCTTTTAATTCAGTGAGCAGAAGGGAAAATTTCATGACACATGAATTCCTTGCTACCAAAAAAATTAAATCCTAAGATAGGCTGCTTTTAGTTATTATTTTTTCTTATGTGCCAATTCTAGAATAGCCTACCAAGCTTAAAAAGCGCAAAATGCGTTCTCGCTATATGAACTTTAAAATTCTTAGATACTTATTTCCCAATTACTGGAAATTAATAATAATAAATAGTGAATAATAAATTGATTAAATTATAGTAACGTAAAAATTTATGGATAATAGATAATTATATCAGAACTTTCTGAAATGACTTTTTATTCACAATTGGAATATTTATGCGAAAATAGAGGGAATAATTACTTATTTTCATCATTTTATCGATTACTTAAATCATTTTTTAATTTTAGTAAAATTATTTAAAATAGTGAATAATTACTAATATTCCACCTTATCTTGTAATCACTTGCATAGTTCAGATATTTCCCAAGTATTTTCTAATGCTTAATTTATCGGTACCTATTGGTTTTTAAATGTTTTATAATGAATCTCCGTGGACTACGACGACAAGGATACAATGGCTTTTGTAGTGGATTGGAGCACGAATAAGCCTTAAATAAACCCCAACCAACTTCTCGGGCTTAATGACAAATATTGAATTAATTTTCTCGGTTACCAAAGCTGTCATATCCGTATTGAAGAAATAGGACTTTTTAGTGAACAGTATCTATTGTAATTTATGTTGCTGAAACTACCTTTATCCTTTGTTATTAGATGTGGCCTTAGCTGAGAAATTTCTCACTTTTCAAAATATTCTAGTATAAGTGAACTTCCTTTGATTAGCCTTTAAAGCGTTTTTAATGACTTAAATTTCTGTAAGGTTTGCAATCCCAGTAACCGCGTTATTATAGGTTCCAAGATAGTACAATAAAAATACTTATCGTGCCACAATTTAGAGCAGATTATCCTCCATTGTTTAAGAATAGATACAAATATCAGAAATTTTAAGTAAAAATTCAAACATTTTATTATATTGTATATGTTGCATCAAAACTGCACTGCATAGTTTTGCATTTAATGATGAGTATTAATGCACTTAGACCCTCTTTATAATATACGATGTCTCACAAGAGGGGTAAATTGCCGTTTATTGACGTAAATAACTTAATTTTACTGGAAATATGCTTGCTTACGTATCACATATTTCTTACAGATACTAAAGTTGATCAATACTTATCTCTTATTTATTAACCCATGGAAGAAGTAACCTTGGAAGCTTTATAATTATTTACAGAGTCACAGCAAATCTGGATCCCTTTTGATATTATATATTTTAATATTAGGGCATATTCACTGACAATTAATGAAGTAAATTGATGCGCGTTGTTACTGTTGATAATTTTAGATACTTCATTCTGTGTAATCGAACTTAAACTGTTTCCCAACTTTTACTCAAACTATCATGACCCCACTGTATGTCATATTCGACCCCTTTCCACAGTACTCAACTCACTTTTTTCTCTTCTTTGGTGTCTGTCTGTCTCTTTTACATCTGTGAATCATTCTCCTTCTTCCACTATCCAATTTGTGACTTTGCCTATTCCACCTCCTCTCTGTGAAGTCCAAAGTCAGCTAAAGGGCTAATGATAACTATCTAAACGCCTGCCGTTTGAAATAAATAAATAAAATTCATGGATTTTGCGCAGGATTTCATTATTTCCTAACTATTTTTACCATTTTTTGAACTTTGAGTGAAACTCCGACAGGGGAGAACATTGCGTGTTTATCAACGCAAACTATCGGCTTAATCCTTGAGCTGGTTGTCCAAAATAGAGTTCTTTTCCTATTATGATAAACAAACCAACCAATAAAATAGGAAAAAAATACGTCAAATTAACCTTCACCATTTGCGTAAAAAATTTTCCTCGATAAACAACTGATATTTTGACAATTAACTCCAAGTTACTAAGTAAAATTTAATATATAATTTCATAAAAGCACCCTATTCAACTCAAGTTACTTAAAAATGGCCACGGTAGCAGAATTTATTGCTGGCTCAATTTTCAAAATTAAAGCTTATATACGTGCTTGTCTGGTTTGGTTTTGAAATCACCACATAGGGTTAATGTCTTACCAAAAGGCAACTATGACGTATGAGCCCTTCTTGAGTGCAAATACCGAGGGTTAAGTACAGCCACGTACTTATTTGACGGCAGAAGATGGTTCAAATGGAATGGGGGGGGGGGCTTATAACGAGGAATTTTGGGGGTGGGGAAAAGTGTGTGCACTGAATATGGTTATCTCGGATTGTGATACATTATACACTCGTGGGGATTGAATAAACTCGTGTTGACTATTCGTTGAAAAGGAGCCTATAAATATAATAAAGGAATGAATTAGTGGTCACGCAATGTCTAGAGACCGTGTTCACCATGGATAGCCCTCAACGTCATGCAGAATATATCAATCTTTTGTTTATCTAGGCTATTTTAACCAAAAAACTCTAAAATTTACCAAAATGGGAAATTTCCTGGTAATACCAAAAGAATGATAATAATAAGCGTGAGAACTAGCTTAAGAGTGAGAATAAAATTTATCAAATGATTATTGACATTCATATGATGACCTACCTCTCCTTCAAGTGGTCATTACTATGCTCAATTCAACTCATTGAACTTAGACAAATGGGTTACTATACGCATAGGGTGCTTATGCATTTAGAGTCTATTCAATACTACAATTGAAAGAGGGGAAGGAGTTATTTAAGGAACAATGACTTCACCTCTTTTCTTTTTAATTTCACACCCATCTTCTCGTTTTTTCTCCTTCCGCTTGCGAACAACTCAATCTCGCGCCTTTAAGCGGCAAATGACAATATCTTCCCTAAAAATACCTAGAACGTGGGTAACTTCCCTTATTGAGACAATAGTTTGGTTATTTCTAGCAAATAGCAGATAGTTGCTTAAAAGATTTAACGTGAAACTTTCTTCATAAGCTGTGCAAATGTGAATACAGTAAGTCGGAAAACTTGAAATATGCACGTTTTTATTCTTTTTCTTTTTTACCAATCAAATCAATGTCAATGTACTTCTGATATTCTCTGTAAATCATAGATATTCTGTAAGCTGATTCTGTTCAAAATAGAAATTCAGCGAATTAAAATAATTTAATTACATATTTGACAAGAATTAAACTTTATTTTTAACTTATTTTGAATTCTTGCCAATAACCACATTCCTTAGGACTTTTAATCTAAAGTTGGTAATTTATCCGGTAAGTTGAATTAGCTCAAACAAAATATAAATACTATGATATCTTTCAAACATCTCTGCATAATTAAGTACTAAGTAGCTGGAAATGGCCTGATTAAATACACTGGACCAACTTGCAAATAACTAACTTTATATGTGAATTAGGACTTTAGAAGCAACAAAGCACAAGACGGTAACAATATAGATATTGGTTTTTCTTTTATTTGATGATCGGTTTAAGTGTGGACAATACCCTAATAGCGGGGCATTGGATATTATAATGGCGCAGAACGGGAGAAAAGTTTATTTATTCATTTATAGCCAATGGCAAGCTTTATGGTAGTTAACATTAGCCCTTTAGTTGACTTCGGTCTTCGCAGGGGGGGGGGGGGGGGGGGGGNGGGGGGGACATCAAAGACACAAAATGTCGAGAGGGGGAAGGGAACAGAAGAGTGATTCACAGATGTAGAATAGACAAACAAAGACAAAGGCAGAGAAAAGGTAAGGTAAGATGAGTACTGTTGAAGTGGTCGAATATGAAATATAATTGGGTAATGATAGTTTGTAGCCAGAAGCCAACTTCCGGTTTATAGACAATTCGACTAGGATTCGCCATGTGGAGGTGAGTCTATCGCATACCCCGAATGGGAGAAAAGTAGGAAAGCATATATGAGTAGAATAAGTGGGGCCAGACTGGCGTAGTTAGATCAAACCCCAAATCACTTCCCCGCTGACGTGGTTAGTGAGTTAGGTCTGGTATTTTATATTAAAATTTTAATCTCAGACAAATTCTCATTGTATTCCTGACGCATAAGTACTCATTTTGTGAGTAGATTGAATGAACTCAAAGTCTGCCTTGATAGGTATTGAATTCATACATACCTTTCATTTTCAATTGAAACATAACTCGTTAGAGGTTCAGTGCACACAGGAATTTTTTGCTAGAATGCATTAATTACAAAGCCAGGTAGAAGTGTATTAACTACGAATGAATAAGTATCCCATTAATTAAAAAATCAATAGTTAAATCACTTTAAATGATTCTGTGTCTAAATAAATAACGTAAAGTTACTTCTTTCAAAAGCAAAGCATAATTCAATGATTTTAGATTAATTTAGGCATAAATCTGACTATAGGTGGTTAGTGCAGTGGGAAATTCATTCCAATCAATTAAACAACTGAAGAAATTCCTTAATGCTTACAATAAAGCAGAAATGTTATAACACAATTATATATTTATAATTTTGTTTTGTAATTAAGTACTCTCTAACCCACTGGTGTAAATCATTCTGCACATGAAGGATTGTTTCTTATGGGTTCTGAATAATTTGCCTACTCTTTCCATCTTTTTTTTCTTTTTCCTTTTTGCATTTTAGAAAGACATCAAAATTGTGCATTTTTGGTTAATTTGACGCAGCATCTAGCGTCAAAGGCTTACGAAATATTCACGGCGATAAACAAGTGACAAAATCTACTGAGCATTCTAACTCATAAAGGCAAAATTCTTTTCGTGAGCGCATTATGGAATAAACTCAGTTAATGCTAACACTTCATATTACTGAATTCCAAAGTCACAAATGCCATTTTTTAAATTCAATTTTTTTAATTTTTGTTAAAACGCTCACACATATATGTACTTCGTGTTTGAAGACAAGTACAAAGAACTTATTATAATTAGCTGCATGTTCAGTGAACATTTTATCAATTCTCTTTTGCTTTTGCTATGGATTCTAGTTGAACCTTTAAAAACATTATCGTTACTCTGAAAAATATTCTTCTGTTTCATTAAGA